AAGCAGTCATAACCGACCCGCGTCGGTCGTTGCCTCAAGGGGGGGTTCGATCGATGACGGGAGATCAGCCTTCTCTTCTCATAGTAGCAGGCGGCCAAGAGAGCGAGCGCGCCCTGCTCCGGCAAAACAACAGCGGCAAGATGCCACGCACAACGAAGGCCAGAGACAGCCATCAATCAGCACGCGTGGTAACATCGTTTACTCCTCCTCGTCCGTTTCTTTTTCTCCTCCTTCTCCTCCTTTGTTTCCTCCTCCTCTTCCTCCTGCGCGCCTCTGTATTCAGGGCCGAAGTGCAGGCCCTCAGGAATTCACCTTGGCAGCGTTGCTGCTCCGATCACCCTGGATGACAGAGGGCCTCTTGCTAGGCGAGGCTTTCTGCTTCGAAACGGTCGGCCACTTGTCCTCTTCTGGGCGAAAGAGGTGGTCGCCTGATTTGATAGGCTTGCTGTTGTACAGACAGGGCAGGATAAGCAGAACCATTTCGCTCTCGCCGACTTTCTCGACGCAACTTTGCACAACTGTACACGACACATATCCCACGCACATGTTGGCCTTTGTTGGGTCGGGGGTCTGAGGCACGAGCCGTAACGGGACGACGAACGGTTGCTTCTGATGACATGCAGGGTTTGGAACAACCGTCTTGGGCATGGCATACACCATATAGTTCGGTGGGGTACAGTGACGTCGGGGATAACCATACCGCTAGCAGGGACCTTCATCCCACACGATACCAGAGGCGACAGTGTAACGAGGAGACACCAAACTTTAGCATGTTCTTTGCCTGCGACTACGTCGGTCACCACTGAGCGCGGCTTCGACGTACCAAACATGGTCAACTTGACCGTTGGCTTGAAAAGGCTACACGCGTGCCCCAGCCCCGCCTTGGCGACGTTGGTGGCCATCCCGATGAGCATGTCGCGGTGCCCCTATGCGAGCAGAGCAGGCAGACGCTATGTGCCTACATCCACTTCCTCCCTCGCCCCTCCCCTTTGCACGCGCCCCTCTTCCCATCGGCTTGGGGGCACGAGCGACTGCGACCACATGACATGCAACAAATTCAGCAGATCCCCTCATCCCCATCATCACCCGTCCTACTCTCCCCTCCATATGCCAGCGTGGGAGGAGCACGAGGCTGGGGGAGGGGTGGGCTGGGGGAGGGGCAGGAGCAGGATGGGGGAGGGAAAAGAGGGGGAAGGCGAGGAGGAGCAGGAGAAAAGAGCCAGCAAAGGCAAGTCAGAATACCAAGAAGGAGCGAGAAGCAAGAGGAGGAGTGCCACGGAACAGATAGCGTGTCCATCGGCCTCATGCCAATCCGTCGCCACCCCCCCACCGACGGCTGTCCTGGGGGTCGCTGGAGTCGATGTCGAATGACATGGCGTCGTCGTTGACAGCCTGTGGCCTCGTCCTATTATTATTATTATTATTATTTTTATTATTATTATTAGTAGTAGTAGTATTATTATTAGTAGTATTATTATTATTATTAGTATTATTATTATTATTCGTATTATTATTATTATTCCTCCTCTTCCTCCTCCTCCTCCTCCCTCTCCTCCTCCTCCTCCTCCTCCTCCTCCTCCTCCTCCTCCTCCTCCTCCTCCTCCTCCTCCTCCACCTCTCCCCTTTCATTTTGCTCCTCCTCCCTCTCCTTGCCCCCCCCTCCCCCTCCTCCCTCTTCGCCCATAGCTGACCACTTCAGTAGGCCCTCAAGTGCTAGTGGTAGCAGTGGTTACCATGGTGTGTAGTTAGTGGACGTATAGACATCATAGCCCAATCAGGTCTGGGTCGTGGCTTGTGGCGGCCCGAACCTCGTACTCGTCCAAGAGCTGCGCTGGCGCCACTTGCTTGTCGATGATGGTGAGCGTGCCCTTTCTTGATCTCCGCCAAGCCGACGTTGTCAGATTTGATCCCGGTGATTTTCCATTGCTTCGCGTCGTCATTGCCAACTTTGAGCTTGACCACAGTGTTTTGCTCGAGCCCGTTATCCCGCAAGGCGTTGGAGGAAAGCCCGCCCTGGCCGAACTCCCTCATCACTGCGCCGCTCAACCCCGACGTGCTGGGGGCACCTCCATCCGCCTTCTCAAGCGGTCAAGGCAAGGTCGACGCTTCAAGCTCCGGGAACTTGGCGAGCGCGTCCATGAGGAACTTCTGGCAGATATTGCCAAAGGCCTTGTTGAAAAGGTGCGATGCCTGCTTTTCTTTCCGTGCAAGTGCATCACCATCCGCACCTGGAAATCACCGTGTAACTTCGCTACGTCCCCGTTGGCCTTGCCCTGTGCGATGTTCTTTTCCAGCCACGCCTTCGCCTTCGCCATCTGGTCGTTACCCTCGATCGTCTGATCCCGTTTCTTCGCGACGTTCGACAGGTCGGTCGTAGACAGATTGTCCATTGCAGTATTGATCAGGTGCGGCAAGGGAAGCGTTCACCAGCGCGACGACGTAGCGCGGGGCCTGCGCAATCTGCAGCAACGACAACGAGGTAAACAGTGATGCCGACAATTTCACCACGAACTCTCCGATGCTCCGAACCTGCCCCTCCATGGGAGGTTGAACGCTCTCCATGTCGCGCGCGATGTTGTCGAGCATGAAGCCGCCCATGACGGCATTGTTCTTTCAGGTCTTGGAGTGGACTGCGAACACCGTTTGCGCGTGCGTCTGCTTCCGCTGCGCCCCGTGGCCGCTGTTGCCAGCCAGGCTCCAGAAATCCGCGAGCCACTTGATGCCGTCGTTGAGCGCCTTGTCGTAGCTCGGGCTCAGCGCGGCAACCTGCGGCAAAGAGAAAGGTGAAACCGATTTGGAAGAACAGCAAGGAAGAGGAGAAGCAGGAGAATGAGGCACAACGGTGGCCCTGCTCAGGAATCCATCCTGGCACAACTTGTCTGGTTCGAAGTGCACCCCGCCAAAACCGCCCTCTTCCCAGCTGTAGTGTGCGAGCACGTCACCGTCGCGACCCGCATGTCGTGCTTCACGACGGGGGCCAGCTGGCCGCCCGATGCGGCGTGCAAGCGATCGTTGAAGTCGAAGGCGGCATCCATTCTGTTCGGGCCGATCTCGAAGCAGCGCGGGGTCTCCCATACCGGATCGCTCCAGCCTTGATGCACGATTCTGCCCGAAAGGTCGTGCACGTCGACTGGGTCCAAGCCAATGCCCCAGCGGTTGCACGGGTCAACGACGACCTCGTCGTCGCGGATGGCTTCCCCGCAGGCAAGGTTCGACTGGGAAAGGCGGACGCCGACCCGAGGCCACCGCCGACGGCGAGCCCGCGGACCTCTGGAGGAGGCGGAGGAGGAGGAGAAGGAGGAGGAGGAGGAGGAGGAGGGGGAGAAAGAAAAGGGGGAGGAGGAGGAGGAGGAGGAGGAGGAGGAGGGGGAGAAGGAAAAGGGGGAGCAACATCTCGCAGATTTGGTCTGCCTTGGCCTTCATCTGGCCTCTTCTTCCGTCGTCGCTCCCGGGGCCGTAGTCCTGAGTGATGTTGCTGATGAGTGGCATGACCTCCTTCACAGCATCGTCCACGGTGCGCGACGGACTGCCTCGCGACATGTTGCTCCAAGGGTCCCGAGGTGAAGGAGCTGAAGCCAGGAGCGCCCGATCGCCAGCGCAGGCTTGAGCCGAGGAGGCTACGTCTGACGTGGTTCGCAGCAAAAAAAACTCAGCTCGTCGCCCTCTCCCTCTCCCAGGACGCCTGGTTTTCACATCCACTCCCCAGAAACAATTTCGAAAACCACCGCGGCCCATCCATACATCGAGTTTTTCAGACCGAGCTAATCTGGTTACGGAACCAGGTTACGCGTAGGTTGGGGCCTGAGCTAGCGTGGTTATCTTGGATGTTTGATATCCCTGCTGATCGGTCTATGTGGTTCTCATATCATATCATATCATATCATATTATATATTATTTTTATTATTATTATTATTATTATTCTTATTCTTATTCTTATTATTATTATTATTATTATATATATATATATGTGAGCGTGGTGCTTCTTCTGCGTTCTGGTAACTCGTCTACAGCGAAATTATGCTCACCCCATGGATGTGCATGCATACCGAACTTAGCCTTGGATGTGAAGCCTGTAACATAGGTTAGCCGAGTTGTAAGGTAGGTCGCGGGAAGTTACAACCCAGTTGAGTCAGGCTAACCACTAAGCAAGGCCCCGGGGCATCTCAGTGCCCACGACGGGCGACAGTTTCAAGAGGGCGCGTTTACAATCAGCAGGGCCAGCGTGAGCCAGGCCGCTTCAGTGGACCTTTGATCAGATTGGCTCCTCTGCGACTGTCAAAACATGCCCACGACGAAAAGCCGGCCCTGGGCAGAGGTTGGGGACCTCTTCGGACGGGGCTGGGACGAGGGCGAATCAGTTCCTGAGCGTTCCGGGACGCTCTCAGAGCGTTCCAAGACGCCTTGAGAAGGCCGCGGCGCCCGAGACATGCTCCAGAGCCGCCGTATCTCAGATATTCTCGATTTCATCTCACCCGATGTTGCCCTCGTCTTGGCTTCGTGCTACTTCTGGGGGCCACACACTGAAGTATTCAAGGCATCGTATGTCTTGGCACACGGGTACCTCCCCGCCCTCCGATGGCGGGAGAAAACCCTCGGGGGCACGTTTCCAGATCGAGCTTCGAGTAGAGGACCGACTGCAGCATTGGTTTACCCCGAAAAGTGACTGGTTCGTCGAATCTGCAAACAAAATCGTTGAAAGCTCGTGCATTCACAAACATTACGCGCACTTGTTGTAGATCTGACGAACATTTCAAGTTTGGGGCAAATCAATTCTGTACAGCCGAGACGCTGAAATAAGGAACAGCTTGGGTCCAGAAGGGGCTCGAAATTCCTAGGTCCGTCCGTGGGTTTCCCTCTAGCCCTCCTCGTGGCTGCCTGCGCTTCGGGGGCCCAGAAGGGGCTTAGTTCCTTATGTCGAGTTCATGGCAGCAGCCTGACTGTAGTCGATCTCCTACTCGAGCGCTGGAGGGGCATGGGCATAGCCCCCGTCGCCGCCCAGGCCGCCGACGTCCCGCCGACGAGTGCCCTGGCCGCCCTCGGCCAGGCCCCGGGGAGCAACAAAACGCGGCATGAGCTCCTCCTCCTCCTCATCCTCCTCCTCCTCCCCCTCCTCCTCCTCCTCCCCCTCCTCCTCCTCCCTCCTCCTCCTCCTCCTCCTCCTCCTCCCCCTCCTCCTCCTCCTCCTCCTCCTCCTCCTCCTCCTCAACCGTCGGAGGTCCGCGCGGGTCTCCTGGGTCGGCGCTGGACCCCTTCAGGCAGAGTTCTTGGCTCGCTTTGCGCGCCAGAGGGCCCCGAGATCCACGCGCTGCAATTGCTCAGCGCGGGGCGTCTTCGCCCGAGTTCGGGCCCCAAGACCCTCACAGATCGATCCGGGATCTGGGGCCCCGGTCGTGATGCTTCACAACATTACAACTTTTCGCAACGTCGGATCTCAGGGGACAGGGTCAAGTCGGGGGCCCCCAAACGGTGTGGTGACCACACCGCGTGGTGAGTCAGTCGGGAGTCGGGGTCCCCGCACGAGAACGTCTCCGGCGACTGTGGCCCCCGAAGTCCCAAGACTTGTGCGGTGACCGCGCGGTGAGGTCCCTTGGGATTTCCGAGGTCACCGCGAGGTCCGCCACAAAACGGTTTTGGAACCCCTGATCCAGCGCCAGCCCGAACGGTGTGCGTGTGTCGCTGCTTGCTCTTCCAAGGCTGCCGCGGCGTCCGCCGCGGCCTTTGGGCCCCCCTACCATCCTCCTCCTCCTCCTCCTCCCCCCCCTCCGCCTCCTCCTCCTACTCCTACTCTTCCCTCCCTGTCCTCTTCCGCCTCCTCCTCCTCCTCCTCCTCCTCCTCCTCCTCCTCCTCCTCCTCCTCCTCCTCCTCCTCTTCCCTCTCCTACATATGGTAGCGGTGGTGGACAATGGGCCCCATCAGGTGTACGTAGAGACGGAGGCGAAGAACGCCTACGAGCCGGTACGGGTGTGGCTGGTCGAGACGTCGGCGAAGGTGCGCGGCTCCATCGAGGCGCGCGCCGGGCCAGTGGTCCAGAAGTTGCAGGCACTGGGCCAGCCCGTGGTCGTGTACGTGACGCCGGTCTACGCCAAGGTCACGGATGGCGTCCTCAGTGCCCGCACCTCGGTGTGCTGAGGGGCGCGAGGGGCGCTCGGGGCATCACAGTTCAGGGGATCGCGTACTCGGTTCGGCCTGATCACGCGATCGCCTGAGCTGGATCGACCCGTGATCGGCGGGGTGGCCATCGAGATCGGGGCTGCGATCAGATCACGTGGTCTGGTCGTGTGATCGGCCGAGTGATCAGCCAGACACTGAGGTCCGCACCGCGGTGGGGGACAGGATGGTTGCGGTAAGGTCTCGGGCTTTGCAGCTGAAGGGCGCTTGCGCCGGCCGGGCCCTCGCCGCATACGGCGCGGCTTGCGAGGCTGCCGATGTCAGGTACAAGGCGGCATGTGGGCTCGTGGGTGCCAAGATGGCGCCCGTCAGTGCGAGGTGCTTGGAGTTCTACAGGGCAGGCGAGGCGAAGGCACTGCCATACTACGTGAAGGCGAAGGACACGACGGTTCTGTACTGCCAGAAGGCGAAGGGTGGGGCGCAATACGTCCAGACCAGGGTCGGCGACATCGTCCTCAAGATCAAGGTGGGAGCAGGAGACACGGCCGCGCTGGTCAAGCATGCCATGATGTCCAGGTGCGCGGCGGTCTCGGACTTCGTACGCGGCTATGTAGGACCTGTGGCCGCCAAGCTGGCGGCCATGTACGAAGCTGTAATCGCACACGTCTCCAATAACTTATCAGCAATCGTCGCCAAGGCCCTCGGGGGCAAGACCCTGGTTTACACCAAAGCGTGCGACGTCGCCGTGGTGGTGAAGGTCAAGTCGCTCGCAATCAAGGAGAAAGCTTTGAACCTCAAGGGCAAAGCTATGGAGTATCCAAGCGCTCTTCTGGTGCAGGTCAAGGACGGCTACGTGTACGTGAAGACAGTCGTCGACGGGAAGATCGTCGTCATCAAAGCGAAGTTCTCCGATGTTCTGGCGAGCTTCAATTCGACACTCCTCCAGGTTAAGGAGCAGGCCACGCTCAAGGCGGCAAACGCATTCGACACGGCCCACGTGAAGTATCCACTTGCCTGCGGCCAGTCCCGCAACCGTGCCAGCCCAGCGCCCAGGTGGCGACTGCTCGAGGAGCGCACAGGAAGCCGCAACGTGTGACACTTCGTGTCCCGAGGTTTTGGGGGGAAGCAGCATGTGGCACGCTCGTTCCAGTCGTGTCGGTATCTCTCCTCGTCCTCGGCGTCGGCCTCGCCTAGTCTTACTGTTCCCGTCTCTGCGCGGTCCTGCCTCATGGCCCATATCCACCCTGTTTCTTCTCCTCTCTCCTGCCGCATCCTTTCTGTGGCTGTCCTGGGCTGCTGCGATGCCGCGTTGGGGTGCAGTGGGATGATGAGGGCAATGATGATAAAGATCTTGATGATGATCATGATGATGATGATGATGATGATGATGATGATGATGATGATGATGATGATGATGATGATGATGATGATGAGGAGGAGGAGGAGGAGGAGGAGGAGGAGGAGGAGGAGGAGGAGGAGCATGGGACGAGAAGGAGCAGGATGGTGGCGGACGAGGAGGAGCATGATGATGAGGAGGAGGAGGAGGAGGAGGCGGGGGAGGAAGACGAAGGCAGCTACATGTGTCACCTCCTGAGGAGCTCTCGTGGGGCTTGCTGGGCCGTCTTGGGGCTGCGTTGGGCTTCTGTGGGGCAGTCGTTGGGGCCATGGAGGCGGCAAGCCGCCTAGAAGGCCCTGGGAGGGGGAGGCGATACGTGCGAGTGGTCGCTACCAGGAGCGGGGGGGGGGCCCCTCAGAAGATTGCAGACACCCTGCCACAAAGCACTTCGCACTCTCACACGTTTACACCACTGGGTGCAGGCACGGTGGCGGATTTGGCGCTGCGGGCCGGGACCAGGCGCATCGCCGCCGACCCCAACGCGCGCGTCGCCGCCGCGTCTGCTGTGGGAGGTGCCACGGTCATGGGTGCTGGCGGTGGTGTCGCTGGACTGGTCGCTGGAGGCACCCTTGGCGCCGCGTGCGGCGTGCCGCTCTCGCTCTTCACGTTCGGCCTCAGCATCCCGGTGGGAGCTGTTGTCGGCAGCGCTGCTGGCATGTGCACCGGCGCGGTGGCAGGGGGCACGGCGGGTCTTGTTGGAGGAGGCGCAGCTGGGCACAAGATCCACCAGAAGAAGGACAGCATCGCCGAGGGCTTCAGCGCTGCGGCAAGCAGGGTCAGCGACATCAAGGGCATGGCGGTGGATACGGCGAGCATGTACAAGACCAAGGTGGCCGATTCCACTGCGGCGTCGGCGTCCTATGTCCGCAGCAGGTTCGCGGGCGGCACCGGCGGCACCGGCGAGGACAAGTGAACCGAGCCGGCGTGGTCGCTCCAGGCGCACGTTCCCGCCGTGCCTTGGGAGGCTTGGGCCTCCCACGTCAGGCATCGGGCGGGCGCGGCATGGGCGGGGCGTCTACCCTTTACGCTTTCGGTTTGAAGTCCCTCTTCCTCCCCTTCCCCCAGCACGCGTTTTCTCATCTGCCTGCTCCACCGATGCAGGGCCCGTCCATCACGTGGCTTCCTTCCTACTCTCTGAATTTTAGGAGAAGGTAGCGGGATTCGCTCGTTTACCTTTTGTGGGAAGCGCAATGCTACTAGACATTCGGTTGCTACTAGCACCCTCGTCCGAACAGCTCCACAGAAAAGTCTTCCCGCGCTGTCGTGTAATTAACCACCCCGGGGCGAGAGTCTCGCCCACTCTTCTGGGCCGCATGGGCGCCCGAATCTTCCGCTAGGCACAGCGTTCCTTGTTCCTTGTGCTAGGCCCAGCGATCTCTGTGCGACATCTTCCATGGGGTGATGAATATAGATGGTGGCGTGCAGCCTTCCCTGTAGCGCCAGCAGCCCTCCTCCTCCCGGCATGGGCCGGCGAGGCTGGTTGGGAATCCCCACGTGCGTCTTGGGACGCTTGCGCCACGAGATGGTTGCACGGCTGCAGAGCGCACTGCGCTGTAAAGTAGCACATGGTTTCGCGGCGACGACTGCCACGGCCAGATGCGCACCGCATAGCACAGGACACTAGGGCATGGGCCCAGGAAAAAAGGGCCGGCGCGACCTCACTTTGGATATTTTCTACAGTATGAAGTGTACGCATTATTTGTGGTTCCAGCGTGAATCCCAAACAGTGAACCATCGCAATCGATGTGGCATAGTGTATACCACTGCAAAGTAGTAGTACAAATCAATGAAAAGCAGCGCACGGCAAAGCGAAGCACAAAGCGACGACAAGCAAATCAATGCAACACAAAGCAGGCCAAGCAAGTAATGCAGCGTAAGCAATGCAAAGCTATGCAAAGCAGCGCAAAGCAAAGCAATGCAAGCAACGCAACGCACTGTAAGCAGCGCAACGCAACCCAACCCCATGGCGCAAAACATATGCGCTACGTATGGCCACCCAAATCTGCGCCTCGTGTGGCGCAGCATATAGCCGCAACCCATGGCGAAACCCTTGGGCGCAGTGGCCACCATCAATGTTTTCGCCACGTGGAGCACAACCTATGGCCGCGACCCGAGGCACAACCCATGGGCGCAGCCTGTGGCCACGAAAACTTTCGCGCTTCGTGGGCACAGCACGAAACCTTTGCGCAGGGTGGGTGCCGCACACGAGCGCAGCGTGGTCACGACAATTCTGCTCCACCTACTGCCGCAGCCAAGGAACGCCATCTATGACCATGGCAATGTTGCCGCCACGTTGTAACCAGTAGTTCTGTAGAGCACACGTAGGAGACCTTCACTAACAGTCTACACAATCTTAAGCTCAGAAAAAGGCACAGCTATCTGACTTTTCGGACGACAGTAACCTGCCACGGCGTTGCGTTGTTTTGTTTGCAAATGAAGTAGTTTGCAGTGCAGTGCGGAGCGGCACAGTGCGGTATAGAGTAGCGTCGTGTAGTGTAAGTTCTTGAGCTGAAGATGTCATGTGTTCTTTTGCGCTGGTGTTGTTTGAGCCGACTTGAATTGTACTGCTCTTGATTGCATTGCATTGTTTTGAATTGCACTGGTTTGCATTCACTTGTTGTGTTACCTGCACTGGTCTGCTCCCGAGCTTCCTTGAGCCGAAGCTCTCTACACTGCGCTGGATCGCTTGGTTTTGAAACTGCTGGCCCGACCTCGGCGCAGTCCTGACTCTGTCGAAGTGGGGTAGGGCGACGTTGGCGACGAGCGTTGCGATGGCGATGGCGACAACGAGGAGGAGGGCGACGACAAAGTTGACGACGACGGCGGCGACGGCGACGGCGGCAGGCGACGACGGCGGGCGGCGACGAAGGCGGGCGGTGCAGACGACAACGGCGGGCGGCGGCGACGGCGGGAGGCGCTGACGACGACGGCGGCGATGATGGCGGCGGCGACGACGCCGACGTCGGGGCCCGCCTCTTCGAACAGACGGGGGCGGCGGCACGGTCCGAGGGCGCCGAGGACGCCGAGGACACCCCGCGCTGGCGGCGGCCGCGGCCCACCGCCGCCGCCGCCGTCGGCAGCGATCGCCGCTGCAGCCGCCGCCGCCGCCGTCGCCGTTGTCGCCGCCGCAATCCGCGTCGCCGTCGCCGTCTTTGCCGCCGCCCCTGAGATGATCTGGGCGTTGCAATTGCTTCGCACCGTGCGTTTTCTCCAGGTGCCGGGTCCCGGGCCCCTCACAGATAGAGCTGGTTCGAGACATGGTGCAGAACGATGGGGTCGAAGGCTTCGGTCGAAATTCTGCATGGTGCGACTTTTTTGCGACGTCGGATCTCCTGGGCCGCCATCGTCGCTGTCGTCGTCGTCGCCGCCGTCCTCGCCGCCGTCGCCGTCATCGTCAGTGTCCTAGTTGTCCTGCTTTTCTTCCTTCTCGCCCGCCTCCTCCTCCTTCTTTTCGTGCTGGCTCTCTCCCCAGTCCTCGTCCGCATCGTCACCACCACAATCACCACGGGAGTGGGAGTAGGACTCTTCGGGCAGCCAGTTGCAAGCCAAGACAGGTCAAGCGTCAGAAGACCGCGAAGCTTGATCATGAATCCAGACGAGGACACCCAGACAAGTCCAGGGGTGCTCCCTGAAAATAGTTGGACACCGGCAATGCACCATCGACCAAGTTACCCATCAGCTGAGTTTCCATCAGTCCTTTAGTAGCACATCCAGGAAAGCCAGAAGAAAACGCAGGTAGCTCCAGAACAAGCCGATTCGATCTGTCATGCAAAGACGCTGCTCGGCTGGCTCCCGCATGCCAATCGGCCGAAACACTGCAGACACAACCATCAGAGTGCGCCATGAGAAGCGGAACGGCTGATCCCAGGGGTTCGGAATCAGGTCTCGCAGAGTGAACTGCAAAATTCCGCGTCTTCCAAAAGCAGGCACCCACGCAGACACCCCCCCCTGCTCTCGGCGGATCGCCCAACCAGCTGCGCCCTGCGCTCTACTAGCCATCTCCAACCCGGCCTACCGCCCCAGAGCTCTCTATAGGAGGCACACGGCCAGGCCCCGAAGAGGCCCTGGACGCCCAGCAGCCGCGAGCCTCGGCCCCAGCGCCGCCGACGACGACGACGACGACGACGACGACGACGACGACGACGACGACGACGACGACGACGGCGGCGGCGACGACGACGACGGCGGCGACGACGACGACGACGACGACGACGACGGCGACGGCGACGACGGCGGCGGCGGCGACGGCGTCGACGACGAGGGCCACGACGGCGGCGGCGGCGGCGAGGACGACGGCGGCGCCGGCGAACGTGGCGGCGGAAGCGTCCGACGGCGGCCTGGCCTGCAGGAGGCGCCCAGCGGCGCGCTGCCCCCCGGCGTGGCGGCGGTGCTCGAGAGCTGGTGCGTCCTGCACGGGGAGCCTCCCAGCGCGGCGCGCTGCGCGGAGCCCCCGGCCCCCGAGGGAGTCGTCGTCGGGGCCCCTCCTCCTCCTCCTCCTCCTCCTCCTCCTCCCCCTCCTCCTCCTCCTCCTCCTCCTCCTCCTCCTCCTCCTCCTCCTCCTCCTCCTCCTCCTCCTCCTCCTCCTCCCCGGTTCTCGATGAGGTCGCCCTCGGGGAGAGGCAGGGCAGGGGCGGGAGGAGGCGGGAGGGAGGAGAAGGAGGAGGTGCACGTTCATGGGTGGCCATGTTCTTCGACGCAGAGTCTTCAGGAGGAGGAGGAAGAAGAGGAAGAAGAGGAGGATCAGGATGGAAAAAAGAGGAAGAAGAGGATGAGGAGGAGGAGGAGGAGGAGGAGGAGGAGGAGGATCAGGAGGGAAAACAGACACCGTAAGCCGTCGATTCCCAGGAAGGGGGGGGGAGGGCGAACACCAAGAAAATGTGGAAATGGGAACATATTGCGAATGCTGGGATTCGTGCCTGTTTTTATTTGTGTGCCCCGGGGCCCCCTCAGAGGAGGAGGCCCAGATCTCCGACGGTATGTTGTTTTGAATCGTAGCTTCTTTCCTGGACTTCGGTCTCCGGGGCCCCAGTTCTCCGACGATGTCGCTCTCCCCGCCAAGTTTTTCTGATTTTCGGACGCCTTCGTCGGTTCCCCAGGAGGCTCTCCAGCCTCGGGATGCTTGTCAGCGGTTGCGCCTCGCCCCCCAGCTCTCCGACGATCTCGCTGTCCCCGCCAAGTTTCAAGTTTTTTTCGGACGCGGTGGCCGGTTCCCCAGGATGTTCTCCAGCCTCGGGGTGCTGGTCAGCGGCTGCGCCTCGGCAAGAGCGCTCGGCGGGGGTGCCAGAGTCGTCCCGAGCGGCCGCGGGAGACGCGAGCGATATGATCCAGAGACCAGATTTCTGATGGTATGGTTTTCGGTGGTGCAGAGAAGAGGTCCTGAGGGATGGGGTCCTAAGGATAGGAAAGGGTCCGAGGGAGGATTTGCGTTGCTTGAAGCACCTCGTCCCTAGGACCCCATCCCTCAGGACCGCAGAATTGAAGCACCGAGATGTTGTTCCGTCCCGGCGTTGTGCCCACCTCTCGGGCGGGGGCCAGCAGGAGTGGATCCGTGGCGTTGAAAAGTCAACGGGCCCCAGGGAAGGGGTCGGGATCTCCGGGGCCGTGGGCTGGACAAATCAGATCGGAGGATCTCTGGGGACGCAGCTTCCGCGTTCCTGGAGATCCAGGCGGTGCAAGTTCTTTATGCGTGGGAGGCGTGCACGCCGAGTTTCGGGCCCTGGAGCCCTCATAGATCAGTCCGGCTTCCGGCCAAAGGATTGGGACTGTTGTCGTGCTGTCTCGCGGTGCTGCATTTGTTCGCGACGTCGGATCTCAGGGTATGCCCGGCTGGTCGAGGCCTCGGGCTGCGCACAGACCGCCGCGCCCAGGTAGCATCAGGCCAGTCTCAAAACCATGGCGACGCATCCAGCTAGGGGGCCACATGCGAACCCTACCAGCGGCACCCTTGGGGCCCCCCAGGGTTGGAGTGTCGAGACCGCCGGCGGTCTGCCGTGTGCTGGGGCAGAATGGAGCGCGGGGGCCGAGCGGTCTTACGCCATCCCAGGGTGCGTGCCCGAAGAGGGCTGCCGAGGCAGGGTTCCTTGTTGTTCAGGAGGGGAAAGAAACACACAGGCACAATTAACCGTCGATTCCCCAGGAAAATATGGGAAAATATGGGAAGTGGGGGGGGGGGAAGACAGAAACCCAGAAAATATGGGAAAATATGGGGAATCTGGTTATTTGTGCGTATTTATTTGTGTGTCCCAGGGCCCCTTCAGTTGTTTGTTTGTGGTTGTCGTCGTCATCCCAGCCCGCGACCCACCCACAATGCTCTGACGAAAGTTTGGAGCCTGCGGCGGGCTCGCTTTGCGATGCGCAAACAATGGCGCCGGCGGCGGGCTTCTTCAGAGCCCCGCCTCTGCCACCCCCTCACCCTTCTCCGCAGCTGCGGGGGCCATGCTGAGAGTTATAGTCTTTCCCAGCCCGTCGGGAGGGACGCGAGGCCCGCATGGCTGAGGCGGACTATTCGGGAGGCCTGTTGAGGCCAGCCAGGACTACCCCGGGGGGGGGGGGGCTGTCCGTGTGCAACCCGAGACTTTCCCACACAGGGGGTCGGCCACACTCAGATCCAGCAAGCAAGCGAGCAACAAGCCGCGCATCCAGCAGGACGCGTGGGCACGACAGCCGCGCGTAAGGCCGCCGAAGGAAGACATGTCTAACACCGCGGACTCAGAAACGCGCCTGGAGAGGAGGGGGGAGGAGAGAAGATAGAACGGCCAAACTATGGCAGAAGGTTGCTCCGTTGTGTTGACAAAGTTTGTGCACTTCTTGTCAGGAAATCCGGGAGGCCTCGCGCCGCGCGTAATAGTTGTATTATCTAGTCCACACGTCAGCTCCGTAAACTATGGGTCGACGCTCGCGCGGCGATGCTCCTGCGTCAGTCCGACGTAAATCCGACGTAAATCCGATGCGAACCCGACGTACATCCGACGTGGATCCGACGTAAATCAGTCTCAAGTTGCCTCGCGGGGCCTCCAGGAAGGTCGTCATAACACTTCTGAAGCCCACTGATGCCTCGGCCGGCCGCGACGCCGATGATCATTTTTTCGCGACGGTCAGTGCTTTACCGCTTCTCGCCTGCGGCCTCTTCTGGAGGCCGCTTCCGGGCCCCGCGGCGAGCAACACAAAAAAAACAACTCGGGAGGACAAGCTGGCCCTGCAGTTGAGGGTCTGGGGTCCGGTGGGCCCGCGTCGCGAAAAAAGTGCGGGGCGAGGAGCGAGGATTGGGAGCCCCCAAAGCAGGTGGTGAGATAGCAGGTGGTGATCTGGAACCCCCAAAAAGTTACCGCGGGGTTTCGGAACACGGGGTCACCGCCGGGCTTTGTGATTCCTGGACCCACCAGCGTTCGGGACATGCTCGAAAAAGCACACGAGTCCCCAAACCGGGTGGTGACACCAAATCGCCCGAGACTCACTCACCGCCAGGTGTTGTCACCACCACGTCTGGGGATTACCAAGAGGATTATCCAGGATCGACGATCGGCGTGATCCTCTGTATTTGCCCGTTCTGGGACCTGGGGAGCGCCCGTCGCAACCACGGCTGAACGCGCCTCGAGATTCTGGTCGGAACAAACCCCTGGACAGGGCCAGGGTCGATGAGGTGGGCCCCAGGCTGCCTTCGTGGCAGCAAACATCGTGACGGCCAGGTTTTCAAAGTTAGGCTGGGTGTAGAAAGACCCTTGGAGCCCCAAAAAGGCCTCGGATGTCCAAGCTCGTCGTCGTCGTCGTCGTCGTCCTCTTCCTCGTCTTGCGTTCTCGTCGTCTTCGTCATCCTTGTCGGCAGCGGGGTCGGCGTCCTCCTCGCCGTCTGGGCAGCAGGGTGAGAAATCAAGCATCGCCGTGGGTTGGCCCCGAGACGGCTCCTGTCTTGCGCAGCGAACGGGGATCGCCATCGTCATCACCATCACAGTCATGAATCATCGTCATCATTCTCCCTTGTCATCCTCGAGCTTCCCCTCCTCCCTCCCCCTTCTCCTTCCAGTCGAAACGTACGACCAGACATATCGCTTGAAGAACTACTGGGATGCAGCCTCTTTTTGGGCCTCTTGGGGGCCTCGTGGGGCTTCCTGGGGGCCTCTTGGGCTCTCTTGGGGGCCTCTTTGGGCCTCCTGAGGGCCTCTTGGGGCGGAAGGCTCGAATTGTCGGGTCGTGTTCCCCGTCTTGGGCCACTCTTGGGGCCGTCTTGGGGCCCTCTTGGGCGATCATGGCCCCTCTTGGGCCGTTTTGGGGCCATCTTGGACCGTCTTGGAGCCCTCCTGGGGGCGTCTTGGGCCGTCTTTGGTCGGTCTTGGGGGCCTCAGGGGCCATCTTGGAGCGTCGGAAGCCCGAAAACGCGAGCACGCGAAAAGCATCGGCACAAACAAGGAGCATGAATAGCTTCTGCCTCTTTTGGCCCTCCCAAGAGTCCTGATGGGGCACTCTTGGGGCTTCTTTGGGGCTTCTTTGGGGCCTCTCGGGCCGTCTTGGGGCCATCTTGGGCGTCTCAGAGCGTTCTTGGGCTGTCTTGGAGGTCTTGGAGGCCTTTTGGACCTTCTTGGGCGTTTCCTGGTTCCCTCTTGTCTCGGGGCCCTCCGGCGGGGACGCCGGGGAATTGTGAGAATATGGTGTCCCAGCCGTGCGAGTTCTACCGAGAGTCCTGAGTACAGAGACCAGAGGACACATGATGACCTGGAGAAAATTCCATTTCGCGCCTCGCGGCACGGTGGCGGATACTTTGTAATGGTGTATGGCTTCCAGGACGCGGACATTGCATAATTTACTCGGGATCATGGGTTCGAGAACGCAACTACGATGTATTTGTTAGAGGGATCGTAGCTCCGGGGACGCGAATATTGTAGGATAATCGAAAGACCTTCGGCCCATCTCGCCACCATACCTGGGTGTGGGTATGAAGCCTATTGGATGTTTGTTGGGATCTCGTGGGGGGGCCTCTCGAGGGCCTCTTGGAGGCAGTTCGGACGCCTCTTGGGGGCCGTTTAGCCTCTTGGGGGCCTCTGTTGAGCCTCTTGGGGGCCTCTTGGGGGCCTCTTGGGGGCCTCTTGGGGGCTTCTTGGGGTCTTCTGGGCGCCTCTTCAGGCCTCCTGGGGGCCTCTTGAGCCTCTTGGGACGGAAGGCTCGGATATTTGGTTCGTGCTCCCTCTGTTGGGCCCCCTTCGGAGCCTTCTGGGGGCCCTCTTGGGGCGTCTTGGGTGCCTCTTGTGCCGTCTTGGGGCCCTCTTGGAGCTTTTTGGGGCCCTCTTGGAGGCCCCTTGTGTCGTTTTGGGGCGGTCTTGGAGACCTCTTGGGCCGTCTTGGAGCATCGAGAACCGAAGAGGCGAGAAGGCCAAAATCCTTAAGAAACCGATTAAACATAAGTGATTTTGGCTTCTCGGGGCTCTCTTGGTGGAGGCCTCTAGGGGCGTCTTGGTGGCCTCTTGGGCCGTCCGTCTTGGGGCCACCTTGGACGTCTTGGGGCGATTATTGTGCGTCTCGGGGCCATCTTGAACGGTCTTGGGAGCCTCTCGGAGCCCTTCTGGCTCGTCCAAAGGCCCGCGTGGGCCCGAAAAAGTGATGCGACAAACAGGCGGAAGCCAAAGGGAGCACGCAGGAAGCCCCGGGAGATTTGGGATGTTTTGGTCCGGACCCCTCAAACATGATCTTGGCGAAGGACCCAACCATTATGCAGTTGTGGGTACCCTGGGGCAGGCGGGACGATCGAGGGGAAACTCCTTATGGGGCCGCGAAGCGCGTGAGACGGGCGAACCGCGTGAGGGGTGTACCACCATGGGGCGGGTACCGCACGCAGGCTGTGAGGGAGACGCATGCGACGACGACCGCTGTAACCTTCGGTGGAGCTCCGTATGGGGCCACGCTACGTGTGAGTGTGCCAAACTGGGCGGGGCAGGCGCGCGCGAGGACCGGCCGGCCGCAAGGCTCCCTGCGGGGCCGCGAAACGTGTGATGGGGTGCGCCGACATGGGTGGGTCGGACGCATGCGGGCGACGCTCCGTGGGAACTTCGTTGGAGCTCGTTCTGGGGCCACGATTGAAGGGGCCCTGGGACACACAAACAACTACACACAAATAAAAAGGTTCCCCATATTTTCCATATTTTCTGGGTTTTGGTCTTCCCGCCCACTTCCCATATTTTCCCATACTTTCTTGGGGATCGACGATTGATTGTGTCTGTGTGTTTTTTCTCTCCTGAACGATCCTCGTGAGGGGTGTGTCGAAACTGATGGGTCGGACGCATACGGCCGGAGCCTGGGACCTTCGGTGGAGCTGCCTATGGGGCCCCGTTTGTGAGGGGTGTGACGAGATGTGTTGGTCGGACGCATGCGGGCGGCGCCCCTGGGACCTTCGTTGGAGCTCCTTACTGGGCCACGATACTCGTGAGGGGTGTGGCGACATGGGTGGGCGGGTCGGAAGAATTCGGGCGACGACCCTAGGACATGTGGTGGAGCTCCAAGGGGGCCGTGATCCTCGAAAGTGGTGTGCTGAAATTGGTGCTTCTGACGCATGCGGGCGGCGCCCCTGGGACCTTCGGTAGAGCTCCCTATGGGGCCACGATTGTGAGGGGTGTGCCGACATGTGTTGGTCGGACGCATGCGGGCGGCGCCCTTGGAACCTTCGGCGAAGCTCCCTATAGGGCCAGGAGATGCGTGATGGGTGTGCCGAAGCTGAAGGCGATGATAATGGTGATGAGCACGACGACGAAGACGATGACGATGACGATGACGATGACGATGATGTTGCTGCTGCTGATGATGGTGGCGATGATGATGGTGCTGGTGGTGATGATGATGGTGATGATGATGATGGTGGTGGTTCTGCTGTTGGTGTTGTGGATGATGTTGATGTGGATGCTGCGGATGATGATGATGGTGGTGGTGATGATGATATTGATGTTGGCAATGATGCTGATGCTGATGCTGATGATGAAGATGAAGATGAAGACGATGCTGATGGTGATGATGATGTTGAGTATGATGATTATGATGATGATGGTGATAACGATGATGCTTCTGAAGGTGATGATGATAATGGTGGTGATTATGACGATGACGAGGAGATTGAGGAGGAAGAGGACGAGGACGAGGAAGGGAAGAGGATGAGGATGAGGATGAGGATGGCGGTGGTGGTGGTGGGGATGACGATGCTGATGACGGTGATTATGATAATGATTACCATGAGAAATATGATTTTCTTATGGTGATGACGACGAGGATGCTTTCGATGATGATGTTGATGATGATGTTGGCTAGTGTGATGATGTTGGAGATGATGGTGATGATGAGGATGGTGATGTTGATGATGATGGTGGTGCTGATGGTTGTGGTTGTGATGATGATCATGATGCGGTTGTTGTTGATGATGGCGATGATGGTGGTGATGGTGATGGTGATGGTGATGACGATGCTGACAAGCGAAGAGCAGAGGCAGGGATGGGAGGAGGGAGGAGGAGGAGGAGGAGGAGGAGGAGGAGGAGAAAGAGGAGGAGGAGGAGGAGGAGGACGAGGATAGGGGGACGAACGCGGCACGTTGTTTCTTCAAAGCGAGGACCCAGCACCACAGGATGGTTGGGAACCTTTCAGGACTAAGGGCTGAGGCTCCAGGGAACAGGCAAAGAACCTGAGGACACGCCCACTCCGTGCCCAGAGGCACGGTGGCGGATAAATGAACATGGGGCACTTGCTGGCAGGCTGAATTATCAGACAAGTCGATCAGCTCACCCAGCTTACCAGCGATTGCAAGCAGCAGCTTGCCAAGCACTCCTGGTCCCCCCGATGAACTTGTGGCGCCGAAAGAGAAAGCTCTGGTAAATCTGGGACCCGCCAGAGGTCCGCGAATCATTTGCCCCAAGATTTCTCTACAGCAAGATTTAGTTAACTTCTCGTCCTGTCCAATATTTCGTTCTCGTTCTTCTCACCCTGTCCCTCTTGTTCTTCTCGTTCTTCTCCCCCTCGTCCCTCTCGTTCTTCTCACCCTCTCGTCGTCCCTCTCGTTCTTCTCGTCCCCTTCGTCCCCCTCGTCCCTCTCGCTCTCTTCACCCTGCCCAATGTTTCGCGGGCCCTCCGCGTGTGGCACCCTCGCTTTGGCGCACATTTTTTTGGGGGGGCCAGCGTGCCGCGCCTGCGTGTGCTGGCCGCCCCCTACTTAGTCCGCCCCCTTGCCGTTCGGGTAAGCGCGGTGGTGCTTTGCAGTTGTGTGCGAGCAGTGGCTGTGTTTCATCGTTTGCACCACGGCTGGGCGTTCGGTCCGGAGTGTGCCCCGGAGGCCTCAGGCCCTGGAGGATACCCTCATCGGATGAGGGCGGCGGTGATAGCCGCGGAGCCTCTATTGGTCTTTCCCGGGGTTTCCAGACCCCTGGGCTTCTGATCCAATGGTTCCTTATCCAACGCCCTCACCGTTGGAGTGGGAGAACGAGGAGGAGGAGGAGGAGGAGGAGGAGGAGGAGGAGGACGGAGGACGGAGGAGGAGGAGGAGGAGGAGGAGGAGGAGGAGGAGGGGACGGAGGAGGACGGGAGGAGGGAGGTATGCTGCGTGCGAGAAACGAGGAGGAGAGGAGGAGGAGGAGGAGGAGCCAGGCGCTGAGCGAGGGCGTGGTTTCTATATATCCCATGCCCCTGCCATGCATGCACCGCTTCTGTCTGCCTCCATCTGCTGGGACGCGCTCGCCGACTCGGCCGCGCCTCCCGTCGCGCTCGGGGCCTCCTCCCCTCCTCCTCCCCCTCCTCCTCCCCTCCTCCCCTCCTCCTGCTCCTCCCTCCTCCTCCTCCTCCTCCTCCTCCTCCTCCTCCTCCTCCCCCTCCTCCTCCCCCCCCTCCTCCTCCTTCTCCTCCTCTCCTCCTTCTCCTCCTCCTTCTCCTCCTCCTCCTCATCCTCCTCCTCCTCCTCCTCCTCCTCCTCCTCCTCCTCCTCCTCCTCCCCCATCAACCCTCGAAGCTCGGACGGCCGCCGACGCAGAGCGCGCGCGCGCGCGCTGGCGCGGGCGCGCGGCGGCAGGAACTCGCGCGGGACCCTGCGGACTTCCGGCTCGTCGGCGCCAGCACCGTGGAGTGCCTCACCGAGGCCAGGCCGGACCGAGAAGTTCTGGACGCCCGAAAGGATACGGAAAGAATGGGTACAATGCCCAACAGCAGTTCTAGTTCATTTTGAACCGGATTCGCTGTCCACGCCGCCGCGGCCTGTGTCCATTCGAGGCAGAAGGCCGCCTGCCCAACAGCGGCCGCTGTTGGTTTGGGACAACATTTGTTGTTGGGCATTGTACCCTTTCTTTCCGTACCCATTTCGGGCGTCCGAAGAAATGGGTGGCAACATCCGGACCCCACCTTCCCACCAGCCATCGATTTTCCTGAAACGATGGGGTCGTGGGTCGGGTCCAGAATCCGCCATTCGTTTTAATTTTGAACCCTACCCCCGCGGCCCATCGAGTTGCCTGAATCGTTGATCGGCGAGGGTAGGGGGTCGGATTTCGCCCCTGTTCAAAAACGCCCAATATTTTGTGAGCCAGCGGGCGCCAGCGATCCGAAGCAGGTGCAGGCGCCGGTCGGGCTGCGGGCGGAACGCAGGGAACGAAGTGGGGCTGCGGGCGGAACGCTGGGAGGGCGGAGGGGAGGAGACGACAAAGCCGTTCAGAACGTGCAGACGGACGCGGGAGGACCCAGGTATCCGACGCCGTTATCTGGTCACCACGGGGCGGCGGCGCCAGCCGCTCCGCGGCTCAATGCTTGCTGCTTGCCCACCAGTCGAATCCGAGGCCCAGCCCCCGCGCTCGAGAATTTAGAAGTGCCTTGCCCCATGGATGTTCCGGCCGTCTCTTGATTCGGAGGTGGTGCGCCTTGTCTTTTTGCTTGCCCGCTTTTTGATTTTCCTTCGCAAGTCCCCGGTGGTGTTGCAAGTGGGCGTCATCGCATTTCGACCAAGTTGGGTGTTGTATATAATGGCCGCCGCTGCGCGCAGTCCTCTTCCAGGGCTACGCGGTGGAGGGTCGACGAAGGTCCCCTCTGATCGAAAGACGGGTCGGGAGAAAAACAACCGAAAGTTCCGAACATGAATGTATATGTATTAACACTTGGCTTTTCGGAGACGAGTAGTTCATACCTTCTCGGTTTCGTAAAGAAATGAGCTAGTGATTAATTCTAACAAGCGAGAGTGAACATTTTCATGAAGAGTCTTTCCTTTGGCATGGACGTTTGTTCATTTTCAGACAAGTCCCTCTTTGACAGGTCGCCGCCGTGGGAGTTTTGGACCTTGCTGCCGCGGTAGGGCTCACAGTCACAATGGCAGTGGGCTCAACCGGCGAGGGGGCAAACATGTGATCGGTGAGTGAATCGCGCGGAGATAGTTGAGAGCTCCACGAGCGTCCGCAGCCGGGAGTGAACGCGCGATCTGCGCGGATCGAGACATATTTTTCCAGATGGCGTTCCACTTTGCTTCAAAGGGGGCTCCCCCCGCTGTCGCCTCCGTGCTTCTGTGGTGCAAGAGGGGTCCAGCGCCGCCTCTGGTGCGTTTTGCGCACCACGGGTCCAGCGCCGATCCAAGAGATTCCCATCATTATGAGACCGATTGGAGAAGCCATGGCCAGACGAGCACCAGTGCTCCAGGACGCTTGCCGATGAGCCGTGGTCGTGGAAATTGTAATTAAGGGGCTCGATCCACGCACGAGTTTATCATGCAGTTTCAAATTGGATTCGGTCGATCCGATTCGAGTCCGGTTTCCGACCGGCCGGATTCGATTATGTTCCGAAGTTCCGATGTGGTGCGGCCCGATGTCTGCTTGCATGGCTTTCTCGTGCATCCTGGCGCAGTCGATCCGACTCGTTGTCGACCCCGTGCCGATGCAGCCCGACCCGACGCACATCTTGACGCGACCCGATCTCCCGGTCCGATGTCTGCTGCCTGGTCTTGCCAGGTGGGCTGGGCGTGGCCAAGGAGCGGAGCGGGACGGCGGCGCCGTTGCTCCCGCGTCCGGGGAG